CCACCTCAGCCTCTCAAAGTGCCGGGATTACCATGAGCCACCATGCCTGGGCCACTTATTTTACTGTTACTTGCTACACTGGATAAGTTCTTTTGACCTTGGATCTTTCAACCTGCTAAGTTACTTAGGAAAACAAAGTGGCCATTTCTACTATACTTTCATTTAGGTTTTACAATGAGCAGGTATGTACTAATGAAAGATCGAGCAGTTTGTATTGAGTCATTCCATCAGTCTGATCTTGTGATTTTTAATTGAATCATATTAAAATTAATCTCTTAGTCTTACTAAAAATAAATAATGGATTGATGGCAACTTAATCCTCAAAGTTGGAATGTATGGCATCTTGCGTTTTTAGGACTGAATTTGTCTAGAATATACTTCTAATTACAGATTAGGATTTAGATAAACCTTTGATTCGGTTGGATGGTTGAATACAGAAAGGCAGCACTGGTTGCCATTCATAATTATTTTAAGGATCAACTATGTTGTGAGCTTTTGCAGCCATCTCCAAGTCCTAACTAAGGACTTTGTTTAATTTCAGTTTCTTCTTAGTGAAAGTAAAGACCTTTGATAACTCCAAAAGATTTCTACTTTTACATGGGCTTAGTGTATCACACTGATGAGTGTTAATGGTGAAAGTTTTATACCTTTATTACTCTGTTGTGATTTTTCTAGTATTAGGTAATTCCAACCCAGGGAAGGATTTTGATATTTTAAAAGAGACACAGGCCGGCTCCATGGCTCATGCCTGTAATCCCAGCACTTTGGGAGGCCAAGGTGGGCCGATCACTTGAGGTCAAGAGTTTGAGACCAGCCTGGGCAACCCAGTAAAACCCAGTCTCTACTTAAAAAAAAAAAAAAAAAAAATACAAAAATTAGCTGGGCATGGTGGCAGGTGCCTGTAATCCCAGCTGTCAGGAGGCTGAGGCAGGAGAATTGCTTGAATCTAGGAGGTGGAGGTTGCAGTGAGCTGAGATTGCGCCACTGCACTCCAGCCTGGGTGACAGAATGAGACTGTCTTGAAAAAAATGAGAGAGAGAGACATACAATTAGGTCAGTTGATATAATGTGATATGATTACCCTTTGCCATTTAATTTCACGGTAAAGTCAGATTTTAAAATATAAGCTTTAAAATATTTTAATATTATAATCATTCATATTATTTCTTACATTGATTAGCATTTTGATGAACTATTTTAGTTTGCCTTTACTCATAAGCTCACTTTCTTTTGTTAAGACTCCAGGGAAATTTAGATGGTCTATTGATCAACTAGCTGTAATTAATCCTGTAGAAATAGACCCAGAAGATATTCATCGTCAAGCTTTATACTTAAGTCATTCTCGGTAAGTTTTCCTTTCTTGCACCTAAGTATAATAACACTCTCAAATGAAGAGAGGTAGGAAATTCTAAATGTTGAGTCTTTTTCTACGTAAAGATATCAGGTAGAAAAAATTTTGATGCAGATTTTTACTATCTAAATGAATTGGTTCAAATAAATACATTCAGAAGGATTTTCTTGCCAACAGTTCCAGATCTGGGTAGATACCTTTTTCTTTAACAGATAACCTATTCCCCCTGCTATTCAGGGGATAGCTCTGCACCCCTAGCACTCAGTAAAGGGAAGAGCATTTTGAAATTTGCACTTTGCTACATCGTTGTGACTTCTACCACGGACTTGTAGTCTGTCTTTTTGATGGTTTAGGGTGAAGAAAAATGCTGTTTCATTGTTGTCTGTTTGGGGATGCCTAAAATCCCCTTAAAGAGTTAAGTACACATTGAGTGGAAGGGTATCCATTAGCAACAGAGAAGTTTTTACACGTCATCCAACTGTAACAATTCACTTGGACTGTGAATTACATTTTCTGCAATTCTACATATCACCCAGTGCAGTCTTATTTTTGATGTGTTGTTTAGGTTTCAAGGCACAAATGTACTGCAGATTTAGTTTTTTATTACAAAATGTAAAGGCATATTATTCTTTTTTAGTTTTAAGGACTCTTTTGTTGATATGTTTTATAGTCTGATTTTTTAATATTTGAAAAAAATCAAATACGTGGTATGACCAGATTTTAACTTGCTGTGCTAAGGTAGACATGTTGTTACTCCAAAACAAAGGATAATCCTTTTCCCTTTGACTTTAGAATTCAGTCACACAAAGTTGCATACATATTGAGATGTTCTGGTAAATACTTATTGGCTTTTCTCCTCCATCTTCTCTTTCCTTGGTAACATGATGATCATTCACTCATAAAATTAATGTCCATCCAGACATAGTGTTAATAGGAAGGGTCTAGAATGAGGATAAAGCATGAAAGGATTTTAACTTAAATTTAAGTAATACCTTTGAGGCCGGGCGTGGTGGCTCATCCCTGTAATTCCAGCACTTTGGGAGGCTGAGGCGTGCAGATCACTTGAGGTCATGAGTTCAAGACCAGCCTGGACAACATGGTGAAACCACATCTCTAATAAACATACAAAAAGATTAGCCAGGTATGGTGGTGCACACCTGTAATCGCAGCTACTTGGGAGGCTGAGGCAGGAGAATTACTTGAACCCAGAGGCAAAGGTTGCAGTGAGCTGAGGTGGTGCCATTGCACTGTAGCCTGGACAACAGAGCAAGACTCCTCCTCAAAAAAATAAAATAAATAAGTAAATAAATAATACCTTTGAAAGAGAAGGTGAGAATAATATCTAAAAGCAAAAAGCAAATGAGTCACAGCTAGTGATTAATTTTTTGTTTCACACAAACTTTATTATGCTTAATTATTTTGTCTGGTTTCTTCAATATATTGAATGATGGACAACTATTACATTTATCAGTCAAGAGATTTTTATTGAGTACTTTGGGGGACTGTAAGA